CAGCACTCGTTGCTTGAGGTTAGTTTCCAGCTCAGTCTCGAATCTCCTTACCTTTGGCCTAAATTCTACGAAAAGTGATTCATTTGCTCATCCTATTCTTCATGTTTCATTATCCACAGAAACGGCGTTTAATCAAGCGAGAAGATTTAGCTCCTGGGATCCAAGCCCCTGACCTCCAACCAAAGGATGTCTCCCCCGGGACAGAAAAGCCTCCCAAAAAAGAGAAGAAGGAGAAGAAGGAGAAGAAGGAGAAGGAGGACAAGCCGGACGCCCCGAATCCTTCGCTCCAACCCAACGGCGGTGACGCCCCGGGAGATACGAACCCCCATGAACAAGACACCGGCGGAGATGCTGACCCGAAAAGCAAAGATAAAGGAAAATCGGCCAAGAAACCCTCGGCCGAAGACAAGGAGAAGAAGAAGCAAGAGAAGATCGAAAAGCAGAAGAAGAAAGTCCAGAAGGCCCAGGACAAACTCGACGCCGAAAAGGCGAAATTAGAAAAACTTCTCAACGGCGGCGATGATAAAGGGAAGGACGGAGACAAAGGCAAGAAAGGAAAGAAGGAGAAGAAAGGCTCCAAATCAAAGGAGGAAAACCCGAACGGCGGCGATCAGCAACCAAAAGATTTGGACCCGACTCCTGATCCGAGCGACAACGGCCTTGGTGGTGGAGGCGGAAGCCAATCCGGAGGTGGTGGAAGCCAATCCGGAGGTGGTGGAAGCCAATCCGGAGGTGGTGGACTCGAATCCGGGGGTGGCGGTGGTTCCGGTGGTGGAAGCGGTGGTGGCTCCGGCGGCGGCTCGGGCGGTGGCAATGGTGGCGAAAAGGGTGGCGAAAAGGGTGGCGAAAAGGGTGGCAAAAAGGGCAAGGGCACTTCAACTACGACACCCGGGGACGTGGTCGGTGGTGGCAAGGGCAGCGGCTCTGGCTCGGGGAACAACAATACGAAAGACGCCGGACAAGAAGACCCCAACCCAACTCCTCCCTCCATCTAGTCTTCCTCTCCAAGAGATAGCGGCGCCTAATCCGATCACAAGACCAACTTCGCTGTTTTTCTTTCTTTCTGCACATTCCCATTGCACCCACTCCTCTGTTCATCGATCTAGAGTTTCAGCGATTGTTTCCCTGTCATACTCTCTCCCCTCTTTCTCTTCTCTTGAAATTCTACTGATAGCCCATCTCACCCGTCCTTTTCTGATGTAACTATCTTTACTTCTATCATTTTCATAAACTGTTGTTAAAGTTGAACTTGTCCAATAGATTTAATTTGATTGAGAATCGTATCGAGTAACCTCATCCCTCTCATAATTTTGAGATTCTGTCTTATTGAAGACACCGTGTGAGTTCACCTTGCCTCAAGCGCAACTGAGAGAGTCCGTATTTTGCCTCGAGTTGGCCTGAGTTAGATATTCAAGCTGGATATCTTCCTCAAAAAGTTTGATCTCCCATCTTCTACATACTCGATCTTCTCACAGGGATAATAATAGTGAGAGTTTGGTGTGCAATGGCTCATGGACTACTTGAAATCCCTCGAGACCTGCACCTATATCCTCGCCTCTCACTCCTCCGGTTTCTTCAATGTAAGCTGGTCAGATTTCACTTCATCCTGCCGGGTGCTTTTTTTAACTTGTTTTTCTGATTCAGACTATGCGAACTCTTTCTGGTGGTCAAAATGTCAGAGTTATCTTGGCCGCTGCAACATGGCGACGACCTCATGATGTGGTCATTTTGGACGAGCCGACCGATCACTCGGACCGCGAATCGCTTTTAGCCCTGATAGAATCATTGAAGACGTTCGAGGGTGGTGTTTTGGTTATCACTCACAACGTGCATTTTCAGGACACTTGTCACGGTACGCACAGAGAAGCTGATTATTTTTGTGTATTGCAGCGGGAATTCTCTGGATCAATTTGTTCCGAATTCTGGGCCATGATAGACGGTTATCAAGAGGCTTCTGGTCACAACTGGACTGAGGGTCAAGGACGAAGAAGAAGAGCACTTGAATGCTTTGGGGAACAAGATAGAAGCTCCGAATAAAGTCAAAAAAATTGAGATCTAAGGAGGAGCGCAAGAAGAACCAAGAGCGAATGGCCCGCCAGAAAGCTGGTTTGGGTTCAGATGAGGAAGGTTTGATTTTTCCTTCCCCTACGCTTTAAAGCAGGTCCAATGCTATGGGTTCATGCTGTCATTTATTTTGGGAATTTCCAGCATTTTTGATATATCGGCCAGGAATTCCAATGAACATCTTCAATCATAGATTTTGTTTTAAGAGCCACTTTTTTCATGACAAACATTTTCTTTCAACTTATACTACAATCGATTCCGCATTTGTTGTTTGCCTTTCATCTCGATTCTTACAAATCTACAGTACACATGGTTGTTCTCTGTTGGTAAAGCCATTACATAGAAATATTCTGGATCAAGTCTTGTCATTTTCTGCACATGCATACTTAAATCAGTTGTACCAGAGTTTATATTGCAACAAGTTAATTTGGGGTTTGGATCAAGTCAAACACTTAAAATTCAAGGTAAGGCTGAGTGTTTCTTAAAAATATGAAAAAGAAGAGATACTCAGCTAGATGATAGAGCTCAAAGCTGACCAATGGGTGTAGTGGGTTGGCAATAATGGGGGTTGAACTGACAAAGAGGTCAAGAAAGCTACTGACAAAGAGGTCAAAAAAGCCACAAACGGCAAAAGCTTCAAGGCCAATCTTCAGGCTTCCTCAACATCAGGTGGGCCTGGGACCTGTTACACTTCTTCCTTGCCCTTCTGAAAAAAGGGGTATTGGGCTAAGCTAAAACAAGGCTTGTAGGGTCAAAAGTTCAATCCATAATCTGGGGTAGATTCACTGAATGTAATTGTGTTGCACCATTTTATTCTGGTACAGTTGCGGACAGCCACAACTGTAGCTGTTCAATTTCAATCAAAGCTTCAGCAGCAGAATTTCAAACCAATGGAAATCTTGGAAGATTTGAGTAAACAGCCATTTAGCTTTAGGGTGGGTGGTACTGGCACTGTAGTGGAGGCAGGACCCAAATTAATATTTCTTTTGAGTAGTGCTTCAAAAACCAGTGCTTCCTGGTTAAGCAGACAAGTCATCTATCTGGAACTCTAACCTGTTTTCTGGGGATGAATTCCCCAGGAAACCAGTATAGTCTGGATCACCTTGGGAAGAAACTTGATTGGTGAACTAGTGCAGTAGAATTTTTGTTGTAGGGGAAATTGTTTCTAAAAAAATAGAATTTGTGTGCATGTTTTCTTTTTTCCTTTTTTTTTCTACTTTTTTTGGTTGGATTTTGAATGTGTTCCCTAAGGGCCCTTCTCAATTGTGAAAGACAAATCTACCCCTACCCAAGTCAAGAAAACCCAGATTGGCTGGTCAGCTGCAACACTGGTTTGCTACTTGATCCTGCACTATCTGGATTATCCTAGTAATTTAGTGCACTTGATTCCTTCCCTGAAACATTGAAATTATCTGTAGTAGGAAATTTTTCTCTCAGTGAGTAGTGTAATGATTAAGCTTTTGCCTGTAGTGAATGGATGAAGTAATGCATTGTCACATTATCCAGAGGTTAAGCAACCCTAAACACATCTTAAGTGGCAGAAAGCCTCTCTTTTTTGGGCTTTGGTAACAATACATGCCATAGATTTCCACACATGTCTTACCAATATTTAGGGGTTTTCAAAAGTAAGAAAAATCTACAAGTTGCCAACAGTGTAATGAGCATGAAAAAAAAAAAAAAAAAAAAAATGGAAGACAAAATGGATAATGTAATGTGCAAAAAAAACAAAAACAAAAAAGGGGAAAGTAATGATAGTGGGTGGAAAATTACTGCTTTATCTTTATGCTGCTATTACGAGTAATATAACTACCCAGTGTTGTCAACTATCATTTTAAGTAAGTATATAGTTTTTCAAGACTTGATCATCTTTTTTCTTACCTAGTACTTCCCAAGGAGGTTGATCAGTCATCAGGGTTTGTTCATGAACAACTTTAAGGAAATTAGAAGTTGGACGACAAAGAAGAAAAAGGCAACAAGAATCTTGATGGATCAACTTCATTTCTTTGATAAGTAAAATATTTAAAAAAAGAAAAACATGAATTTCTGGCCAGTTTTCAATTGTAGAAAATATACCCTGATAATGATATATTACAGCAGGATCGGGATCCTTGAGGGAAACCTAGAGGACCAGCTTCTCAACTCACAATCCTATAGTATTATGTGGGATATCCTATTACAGGATCAAAAACTCTACTTTCAGCTTGACCCTCCACTCTTGATGGAAACCAGGCAAGTATGTATAATGGAAAGGAGAATGCCACCATGGGCGGATATAGGATGTTGCTTCGCTTGGCTCGGCAAAGGTGGACAGCACTATGTAGGGCTGATTGACGATGGCATTCAAGCGACTTGATCCGGACATGGATCGATCAATTTCGATTTCGAAGAGGGATTGGAATTGCAATCTGAGACCCAAATCACGCTAGCCCTGAAGGATTCAGAGGCCAGGCAGCAGGGCCGCCGGCAGTGAAGCACGGTGTGAGCCTGTCAGGTCATTCGGGGTCCGCCATCTGGCATCAACGATGTGATTATTTTTCGATCCTTCCTCAAGACTTAGCTCTCACTCTGACTGTGATCTCTCAGTCGATCAGCTGAGTCGTGATGTGGCTCATGAAGAAGAGCTCAGCTCTCTGATGGTCCTATCTACTGGTTAATTGTCACAGTTGAATGAAGACCTGGTGCAATGGCAGGACGACAGCTGGACATGCCGACAATCAGATTGAAGGCCTCTGGGGGTCCCTCTTGAGCGACTCGATGCATTGTATTCTGGCCGAGCCACCTCCACCGACAGGACGGCAAACACTGAAAGATAAATCAGGCCGCTAGCTGACCAGTCGGCCGCACATCGTCCATCCTTGTTGTAATATTACTCTATTACTTCACTGCAAGATCGAACACAAAAAAAAAACTTAGCGTCCTGCGATCCTGAGAACAGGCATGGATGATGGTGAGGAGGCAGATGAAGCCAGAGCGGATGGATACCCAGGGACTCTTTGAATTTGCTTGAGCCCATGATGCCATGGCATAACTGCTGTTGGCTCATATCAGTTCCCCAGGGAACTCCAGGCGGATTGCACCAGCTGCTGTCCTCGGCTTCCTTTGGCCATGACACCATCATCATCCTGTCTCTCACAAGACTTCTCCACAACCTAGCAAAGAACCACGCATAAATTTCCTCTGCATCAGGAGGACCACGAAAGATTTCTTATTGAAGTCTCATTCTCACCAAAAACTGTGTACTTCCTTCAGTAGATTTCCTCCATCTGGTAACTCCCCTTCACAGTAAACTTAGCCATGCTGCCTCGAATCGATGTTCCAATCGGCCCGACCGGAGGAAACAGGAAACAAGAAAGTCTCGAGAAATCCGCTCGCCATCGTACCAAGCTGCCTCGTAGCGAACTTTACCCAAGCGAAAATCTCACTGGATTGACATTAAGAGCTCCAGCTCCAAAGCAGCGTTCCAATCTTCCCTCGGCGCTTGCCAGCAAACCGCTTTCCGAAAGAGTTCTGCGACCGATCAGCGTCAATATCTCAACTCCGATCAGCCTACCCTCACCCAGTAAGACCGTGGTTCGCCGATTCAGATCAGGAAGTGAGGGGAAAATCAAATCCCTCCAGCCTGATGATGACCAGGCCTCTGTCTCGCCTCAACAGCCGCCGAGCGATTCCTGTAAACCCTCTATTCAGATTCGAACTGATTCGGCTGAAATACCTTCTGCACCGACTGAAACCAGCCAGTTAAGTTCCAAGAACTTGCAGACACTGTCTAATATGCTGAGGAGCAACCAACCCCCTCACGCGGAGCTCAGCATCCCCGAAGACAGCGAGCGAGATTCCCTCAAACCAGGTGAAGAGGGAATCAGTGAGAAGTATTTCAGTCTAGCACCTACACTGGGTTCTTCTCAAAGATCCCATGGTTCTGCTCATGGAGATTTCACTTGCTCAGAAGGTTCCCCGCCCACGGAACCTCTGGCTCTACGTTCGACCTTTTTCAACGTAGGCATCATCCTCCCCGCGCCCCCATGTGAAGTGGGTAGACCTGACAAGGCTTACGTGGAAAATGCGGAGCGCTCATCAGAATCCCGGCTGGCGTCGATGAGGTTGGAGACCATGATTCTCAAGCAACGCCGGGTCGATTTCGAACCGGTCGAAAGCGAATCGAAACTCGGCCGGAGTGTCGAGAAAGATCGGCCCTTGGCTGAAAATCATCTGGGAGATTCCAACCTCGATCACCAGTCAAGCATCCTTCCCACAAGAAACTCCTCGACCATCGGCAAAGTCAGATGTGCGCTCCTGGAGTCCGAACGACTTTTAGGAATCAAATGGATTAATAACGTAAGTCGTTTGACCAGACCATCGGCATTAAACAAGTTGTACTGAAGTATGACTCGACCCATCACGACACAGGTGGATACCACATTAACTACGAATCCTCACATTACACCCGAAGTCCGATATCATGCGAGCTTGCTATTTTCACTCTATTGGGGTTCGCGGTCTCCAAAAGTATCAAAGCCGGACGTGGTCCCGATCTCGCAGGCGAAGACGACACGTGACTTATCTGCAGAAAGGGAGGCGAAAAAGAAGTTGAAGCTGATTGCAGCCACGGCCATGGCTTGTCTAACCTTGACAATCAAGGCAAGATTGATGTTTTTTTTGTTGAGGAGAATACCAGCGACTCGCTTCACACAGAATGCTGATGTGTATGTTTTTTTTTTTTTCTTTATTTAGTGGTACTTTGATTTTTGCAAGCCGTTATTCACCTTGCAACTGATGAGCTTTTGCAAGACCACAGATTTCAGGACTTTCAGGGTAACACCTGAAGATCTGATCGTAAGTAGTTCCTTTCCCCTTTTCCAACTCATCATCAACAGTACCCTTGTTGATAATAACCCTACATTGGCGCTTGCACTTAGATCGCCGAACGAGCGATATTGTTTTCCTATCCCGTCGCAGGCGGATTGTGGCTTGATTCTCCTCATGCCTTCTTGGAGGAGCTAATCCATATCATTCCTTCTCTACGACTCTTGAGTAACGTGCCTTCGTACCTATTCTCGGAAAGAGAAAAAAAGGATAGCAAGAGTTCGCATAGTGGGCTCAGCGAATCTAAAAAGGGACAAGAACCAAAAAATGGCGTGCGTTGGGATTGGCCGAAGGTTGTTCATCACTTCGAAAGAACCCTTGCCAAAGCAACTATGTGTAAGCTTAAATATGCGGCCAGGAAATCTTTGAAATAGTTGTGCTTACCGTTTTAACTTGCAAACAGGGCAAGAAGTCCTAGCTTTTGAACCATCGGTATTATGCGTTGTTGCGCTATATATAGCATTGGATGGCGTCGAAGCTGGGTATCATGAAAAGAACGAGGATAAGATACTTTTATCCAACCCCGTCTTTCCCATCAACGAAGCCTCCACCCATTCGGACGACAGGGGTCTATGTCTCGAGTCTAGATTGTTTCCAAAGGGGCGAGAACCGGTAGGTATGCCCTCGGCAGACTTGAACGACACAGAAGGCCCATGGATTTGGAGATGGGTAGATATCAATGATACAATGGATCAAGTCTGTCGGACCACACAGGTTTCGGGCGTAAGTCCATTCCGGCATGCATTCCGATGAATTCATCATGATTGCGCGCAAACATCTTGTGATCTGTTTACAGGATGACGTTGAGAGCTGTCTTGACTGGTTCTGCCAGTCGGAATCTTTTTGAAAAGCTGAGAGGTAGGTGGACCGTCATCAACAAATCAGTATTCTATTGGGTATGCTAGCATTCTAACGCTTTAAACCCATGCACTTTGTAGTCATCCGATCGGCTCAAACCACACCCCACTCGACTGGAATCTGACTTTTAGCCAAAAAAGTCTAAATAGCTACCCTACCAATGTGCCTGACATGGCACTTAGCAGAAAAGCCAATCCCTTGGTTTGACTCATGGCGCAATTATTTCCGGGGCTTGGCAGGATTCCGCATCTCTTCCGTGTTTCTGATATCACAGTTGTCAATTACTCTCCTTAAAGCAATGCGTTTCTTTCTTCCGACTTTGTCAACTCAATTTCTCCTCCCCTATTTACTCAGGAAGTATCTTTTTTTTTCGCTCACACTACCCCAGCACATGAGAAAGAATTGGATTTTGTTACACGGTTTTTATGTAATTTGCTTTGGGTTTGCTTGTTTGCTTTTGTTGTTGTAATTATCATACGCTGAAGTTGTTGTTTATCCACCCAACTTGGCGCTTCAGCTATCACATTTAGTCTCTTTAATTGTTTGAGTAGTGTCAGTATACTATGTAGTCCTCTATCCAAGTACCCTGATATTCTCAGCTTGGCAGACCCGCTTTACTGGATCTTCCACAATTATCAAATCCATTCCAAATTTGCCTCCATCTTTCCAAAGAATATCAATAGGTTCTGTGAGTAGGAGGACACTGACAAGCCCCCCAACAGGCAGGTGTTGAAACAGGTATGGCTAATGGGCTAAAATCACAAAAACCTACTCTTGAAGCTTGAAAAAATGATGAATTGGTATTTTGGACCAAAGAGTTGCTCTTGAAATTGCTCATCTCAGGTATGAAAGACTAGTCTAGATGAGTAAAACCTGGAATTTGGACCTCAAATCCAGGATTTTATTAGGGAAACCCCTCTTTGGGGGCATTTTCAATCTAAGCATGCTCTTGAAAAGGGGGTAACTTAATGTTTATACAAACTTTGACATATCTGGGATCTTGTGTAAATTTGCACTACATCAAAACAGTTTTGCAAGTAATTTCACATGCCATATTTCAAGTTGCAATATTCCATGCACAAAGAATTCACTCAAAACTCTACTTTCTTCATCCAAAGAGGAAAGTTGAATTATATTTACTTTGGATGTCATGTGTCATGCAAATTTTGTGTTTGGATGGATTGAGGGAAAGTTTACATGGACATATCTTGCATGTCAATTGTTTGATTGATGTAGTCACTGGCAATTCACACAAGATATATTCCAAGATATATGGAATTTTGCATGAAATATGGCATGCAAATTGTGTGTTTCAGTACCCCATTTCTTGTCAGTTCATCTCTCAGACCATTCCTTATACAGCTCAGCTAAAAATGAATAGTGCACAAGGCTGAAGCTTAGGCCTTAGTAGGAAGATATTCTAACAAGAACTGAAAAGTAAAATAGGAGTTGTGCTAAATTGAAAAAAGAGAGCTGAAATTGATGAATAAGTGAGAAAAAAAAATTGATGCTACACTTCACTGCCCTATGGACCACTCAGAACTTCTACAGGGCCAAAATGTCACTAACCAGCTCATTAGCTCAGGGTAGAGGGCACATTTTTGGGGGCCTGAATGTGTAGTGTTAGTTCAGAACCCCACCATGCTACACTATTCTTTAGTAGAGTTCTACTACCCTAAGCTGTGCTAACACTATGGTTAGCACTACTGGCCCATTTTTGGTTGTAATACAATGGGCATGATGAGTTGAGAAGAAATAAGAGGAAGAGAGGGAATAATAAGATAAAGGGTCTTAGTCAACCAACCCCCAAAAATTGTAGTTCCGACTCCCAAATTTTGAGGACGTCAAGAGGACCGCCTGGAAATGGGTGTCAGGATGTCCTGACACCCTATTTTTTTCCCCAATAGTTTGGGAGTCAGAGCTCTAAATACCTCATTGGGGTTGGGAGTCGGACCCCAAGCAGAATTTGTTTAAAAAAACCAAATCCCCCGTTTGTCTGGGAGTTGTTCCTCCAAAAACAAACAGTGCATATGGGAGTTGACAATTAAAATTCAGCTGAAAAAAGGTTTCATTTTTTTGGGGGGCTTTGATATAAAAACACAGTTCTTTGGCGTTCAGACACAGTTTTTGCTGTGTGCAGTAGACACGGTTTCCGCGTTTGGATGTGTTTTTTTGTATTAATTTTTTATGTTTTTTTTTTTGGAATTTTAAATTTGTTTCCCACACTTCAAATTGTGTAGAATTTTATGATGAAATCCATTTCCCATAAAAATCAACCGTTCATTTTTTAATAATGCAATTGACCCATTTTTATTTTTTACAGCTTAATTTTCATTACTTTTTGACATTTTAAATTTTTTTATTTCCTACACTTTTAGACATGCACATAAGATTATGGTACTAATCATTTTACATCAAAATCAAAAATCTTTCTTGAACAATGTTGTTTTGATTAATTTCTACAGGTTTGACAAATAGTGGGTTAAGGCTTTCTGGATTGATACAGTGTGTGGAGCCTGTTGCTTGTGTGCAGGCCTCAGGGAAGCTCACAGGGGAGTGAGACTGGGATGTGTTTCTCTTGCTCCCGGTTGGTGAAGAAGGAACTTGGCTGGTTAGACAAGGTGCTAGCAAGCAGCAATGTTGACAGAGGCTCTGTCTCCATGGGCGGACTGACTAGGTTGATGGAGGGCCAGAGGAGTTCACCAAAAAGTTAATTCCCACGGGGGAGTGTGTAGGGCTTCAAGTTTCAACGCCCCAATTGCAAAGTCGTGTCGGCTGCTGCTGCTGCCCTCTGCCTGAGGAGGTCGATGTTATCTGAATTACAGTAGACTGGACCTGGTTGAGGTCGAGGGTGATCCAGGCATTTCCCAGTGGGCACCCAGGCGTACATAGCACAGTGAATGCAGTAATGTAGCTGGAAGGGGATTGAGCGATGGCAGGGCCCCTTGGTTTGGAAGATTGAACACGGTAGGCTGCCATGCCTCTGCGGATGTACTGGGAGCTGAGAGTTCTCCTGCCCGCTGGGTATCAGGAGCCGCAACCGCCCGTAATGGGCATCACAGGTATGACAGGTTCTTCCAGCATTCCCTTGTTGCATTCCTGAAGCGATGAGGACTAGATGGCCGAGGAAGAACAGGGCCGAGACGAGCCCCAGCCGGACGAGTTTGTCATAAGATAGCATCAGGCGCGGCATGGTCGGTTGCTTGGAATGGGATTCGATCTTGGGAGCTTGAAGTGTAAGGTTGTGTGTATTGTGAGGGTTGCACGCAATGGGCTGTTGGAGTGGACTGAGCTTTCCACTATGCCAGCAAGGCGATGAGGACAAAGGCAAACTGGGTGACTTAAAAGGGGGTGCCCGTGTGGTTCAAGATCCATCCAGTCAGCCGGGTGTCTCCGAAAGGTCTATGTATAAGCCCGGAGTAGGCTTGGTCGGGGTGTGGAATGCGGATGCTGGAGTCTCTTGGTCCCTTTGAAGGTTGAACCTTTGAAGTGGAAGATAATCACCGCCGAAAACTTCAGCTGAACCGCGGCGACCCTACATAGTCCGGTGAAGTCTTGGTGAAATATGTATATGCCCGACGGGAATAGAGCTTTGAGGATGCCCGCCGAGGATTCTGAGTCAGAGGGTGGAATAAGCAGCAGATCACAACTCCGAGAGAGAGATCAGATCAGACAGTTGATTTAAATTAGCTCCGACCGAAGCCGTTCTCGAGATGGCGGCCACGGGCTAGGCCGACGTGTCATTCTTGTTGTTGTTGTTTTTTTTCTTGCGCCCTGAAGTGATTTGAACCAGCCAGCGGACTACCATTGATCGCAAGTTCAGACTGGAGGTACTCGATTTCTTAATTACCATCCAGGCTCGTCAAGTAGTCGGGGTGCTCACTGGGCACGCTTGTTGATGCTGGTTATAAATACAACTGAAGAAGAAGCTGACCCTCAGACTTTCTTCCTTTAATAATAATCCCTGGCAGGCTTCTAGTCCTTGCCATATCCTCAATCCAAACAAATCCTTCATTTCCTCTGCATACTCCTCCACCCACACCACATCTCTTCCCCCACGACATTTTTCTGCTGGCTCAGTTCAATCAATCGAAACAAACAAGAAAGAAAGAGATACCTCTAAATCTCAATCGGAACAGACTCCCATCCCCAAAGCAAGCTGGAACCGTTCTGTGCTCAAAGGTGTGTGTGTGTGTGTGTTTGTGTTTTTTGTCTGTGCTTCTTTCTTCCCCGGTTTTGTTAGTTTTGTGGATCATCTCCCTCGTAGAACCAATCCACCTCGGAAGCAAGTCTTGTTGACTTGATGAGAATAATTTATTAAATCTGCCTGTCTGTCTGTCTGCCTGTACAGAAACCTTCTCTCTTTAATACAACCAACAACCTTCACTTCGACTTAACAACGGAAGACAACCAGAAGCCAACAACAGCAACCCTTGCCTCGGTCTCCAATCCTCAGCCAAAGAAGGAGACATATTACCACCACCCCAGCTTGAAACTAGCCTCCCCTCACTCAAACACATCCAACCTCATCCTACTCTCTCTCTCTCTCACTTACATACTCTCCCCCAACTACCAAGCGATTTTCAGAAAGAAAGAACCAACCTCACTGGAAGATCATCAACACCTCACCTTCTCTTCATCCTCACCCACCAATCACCTCTTCCAACATGGCCCGAGACAGATTAGCTGCCATGCGTGTAAGTGTCCCCCCTCCTACCAACATCTTTCCATTCAATTACCGCATACACATACTGATCAAGCCTTCTCTATCATCCCAACAGAACGCTAATCAACCTAATGACTCTGAATACTATGAAGACGTCTACGATTCCTATGGGTAAGCCATCCCTCTCTTACATAATCCATTATCTCTTCTGACATCCATATCATCATCACATCATCAGTGAACCACCTGCTGCACCAGCATATCGAGTCCAGCCCCCTGCGGGTCGTCGGGCACCCCCCAGAAACGGATTACCGAATGGCCCTGGACAGTTCAATCGACCTTCTCCTTCGGGCTCGATGGATGAAAAACCAGATTATGATGATTACTACGAAGAATCTCAACAGCCAAGCGGCCGTCATCCTACCGGAAACTTTGAGCCCCCGATGGAAATGAAGCCGGTCTCGAGAGCTCCACCTTCGAATTGGGATTCCAAAGGCCCCAGGGAAGTCTCCTCGACCGAAGAGTTCTTCGACTCGATTGCCAACCTTCAAGTGGACCTCAAGGAACTCTCACAGATGATCAGCGAGATGAGCGATCTTTCGAAGCGATCCCTGGACGCCTCATCCGAGTCAGATCGTGAACAACTCCAAGACGAACTGGCCCAGCTGAGCGACGACATTCGCAGATTATCAGCCCAGATCAAACAAGCCATCCAGTCCTTCGAAGCCGATCACAGTCTGCTCCGTCAACGTGGAGACCCCGATGGAAACCTCTCGGTCCGGATGGACCAGCTCGCCGCGCTCAAGAAGCGGTTCATCGAGACCGTCCAACGCTATGCTGAAGTCGAACAAGCCGCCAGACGGTCCATGAAGTCCCGCATCGAACGTCAAGTCAGGATCGTCAAGCCTGATGCCACTCCGGAAGAGGTTCGGGCGGCGGTGGAAGACCAAGTCAACGGCGGCGGAGCCGTCTTCCAACAAGCTGTTTGTTTTTGTTTTGTTTTTTTCCCATGATCTATACCACTCTCAATTCCTTTCTGACCTTTCCTTTTTTTTTATGGCTCCAGCTTGCTAGCTCTAATCGAATGGGATCCGCCCGAAACGCTCTCAAAGAAGTCCAATCTCGTGCCGAGGACATCAAACGTATCGAGCAGACCATCTCGGAGCTAGCCCAGATTTTTAATGATTTAAGCACCCCCATTCATAAACCCGCTGTCCAACAAACACTAAAAACACACAAATTGACCATCCCGATATCGATAGATGGCTACCATGGTCGAAGAACAAGACGTCAAAGTGCAACACATCGAGAAACAGGCTGAGGTCGCTAATCAAGACATGGAGGAAGCGTGAGTGTTCCCTCCATCTATCCAACTATGTCTCATAAGCATGGTGCTAATTGCTCGGGTTGGTTGATCTATCAGGACCACCGAATTGAAGACCGCCGTTGTTTCTGCACAAGGCGCCCGAAAGAAACGGAAATGTTGTTGCATCATCATAGCCGTCCTGATCAGTAAGTCTCGTACCACCCATCTTTCAGCTCACCAAATCATCAAAAACAAACAAGCATCCTGACATCTTTGTGTTTTGTAGTTGTTCTGGGAGGAGGAGGGGCGGCATTTGCGCTGTACAAGACCGGCGTCATCCCGGGCTTTGGGACCTCGCCATCCGCAGCTACTGCAACCAATGGCACTCATACTGCTTCCGCTAACTCCACGTCTCCTTATTCCGGCACATCAACCGGCTCGTCCACTTCCTCAACTACCTCCAAACTTCCTTCCTCTTAATCTCTCTCTCTCTCTCTCTCTCCATCCTCGCCCCTTTCTCCTATTATCCCTTGTATCCTCTTCTCTTCACTCGCACTTCAACCTCGTTTTTATTCCTCAAAGGGTTTCTCTACTCCTTTTCTGTTGTTGCTTGCTATCTCTTTTTTTTTTTTATTGTAGATGTTGCGTATTTTTTCTCTCCCTGTTCTTTTTTTTTTTCATCTCCTTCTTATTATTCCATTTCAATTGCTCTTGACATGTCAGACCTTCACATTGTATTGTCTTATTGTTTGTGTGTTTTTTGTCGAGGTGATCTGCCATTGATTTCTGACTTCTCTCACTTTATTTCTTTGTTCTCATTATTTATTCCTTTTGACAATTATTATCACTCTTTTATAACCCCCTCCCTCCCTTTTGTTTGTTTGCCAACCTTTTTTTTTCTTGTTCATTGTTTTTTTTTTTGTTGTGAGCTGTTCCCTTTTTACATTTATTTTTTACATCCAAGATCATAAAAAAAAAAACTCAAACTAATTTTTTCCTAATCTGTGCACTTCTTTTTCTCCCTTACATTATACATACATACATACACATACATACACCTACATACATAAATACTCAGGTTTTTTTGTTTGTTTTTTTGTGGTCTGATTTGTAAATGTTTATTTTTATACTGCAGATCAAGAAAAAAACAATGGAATTACAATATACAGTGGTGCATTTTTTTTTTTGGTGTCATATTTGTCCAGGAAAACCAGATTGGGTCTGTGATCTCTTGTAAGCACTAATTATGTATAAGGAGCACATGAACCAGCTACAGCAAAAAAAAAAAAAAGAGAAAAAAAAGAAAAAGTCATTGAAAAAGCCTTGAAAGTGAGAAAAAATCATGACCTGCTTTGCCAAAAGAATTTCTCCACAAAATTTCAAACACTCCCAGGGGGGGTAGCTGTTGAGAAGTTGTGTGGGACACTGTATGTCCCAAAGATTTGTGCAAAATTTTCCCCACTGTAGTCAAAATATTTCTGCAACACCTCCCATATCATCATCAAACAAAAAAAAAACATGAAATGAAATGACTTTACTTTCAGATAGTGCCCTGGACACTTCCATCCCCCAGCTTTGAAAGCAGAACTTGCAGAACGGTTTACTTTGACAGTACTCTAATGTACATCCTTCAAATCCACAGCTGGTGGCTGGAGGTGTCCAGGTTATATAATCGTTTCAAGTCGTGGCAGGTGCCAAGTGACATCTCTAATACTGGATTTAGGACAGGCCTATTTAAGTCATTTCATTTCATTTCATGTTTTTATTTTATTTTATTTTTATGATGATCATGATATGGGAGGTGTTGCAGAAATGTTTTGACTAGTGGGGAAAATGTTGCACAAATCTTTGGGACAGTGCCCCACCCTCCTACTTCTGTAGAGCTAAAAAGTGTATAGTACACAAAGTTGAACTTTTATTTTGCAGGTGCCGGGTAGTTGAGAAGTTGTGCAGGGCACTGTATAGCCTATGTTTGTAACTTTTCCCCTCTTCTTTTTGAGGGGAGGTGTTGCAGCAATGGTCCAGTTGATTGGAATTAGGTTTTGGCAACTGCAGCGTGAGAGCAGCTGTCCATTTACAGAATTCTACCTCAAGTGTGACTGAGACCATACATAAATCAAGAATTGTATCACCTGTTCCTCAGTATTCAAGTGCTTCATGGGTTTTATTGGTTGTCAGTGATGGGCTTTTCCAAGGCTATAAAGCCAGCTTATTATTGAAGAATGGACAGTGTGGAAACTAGGAATCCATCTGTACTCCTTATCCCTTTCTCCAAACTTCACAATGCTTCTCCAATTGCTTCTCCTTAGCCTGTGGTTCATTGCAATACCAGCAGGTTGCAGCGAACTTGTTGAGCCTCCAATTGCAGCAATTCACATGGGTGACCAGGGAAGATGCCCTGATCCTAAGTCATCCCGGCTCTGTGGTACATATGCACCAATCATTCCCTTTACAAATCCTTCCCCCTGTCCATGTGACACCTAAGTTGGGCTTTCTTGCTGATTCTTTGTTGATACATTCTCTATACATACTCCACCAATCTTCCGTAAAGCCCTTGAAGAACCTTTGGAAAGCAAGCAACAGTCATCAACTGCAATGAAAAAATTTCACATGAGGCTTGTCTCAAAATTAAATCTTAATACTTTAGGCCAAAAACGTCGGTTGAACAAGGCAATTCTAAAGAACCCTCAAGCAGGGCATTCAGCTTCCTCAAGAAGTAAGTTTATTGCACTTCTTTTTTTTGGGGGTTTGAGGGGTCATGTTGTTGTAACTTTTTCTTGTCTCTTCAGGATCATACTTACAGAAGCAGTGGGGTATACATCAAGGTAAAAAGATGCTTATGCTTATAGTCATTATTTGCTCAGCTGCATGAACTGAGATATGGATGTTTCAGAGCAAATGGAATTGTTTGCCAAAAGTTCAGATAAGCTTTTAAAACACCAGAAAGAGCTGAAAAGACAGTTAAAATGGCTTAGAAAGAATAGAAAAAACAAATATGATACATCCATGGCAAGAAAATTAGTAGAAGAATCTCAAAGAGACATTTCAATGTTCAAAGGATTCAGACTTTTAAAACTTTCAAACCTTGATCCAAAAACTTCAAGTGAAAAAATGATTCCATTTTTGCTTTCAGAGAAGGATAAATCACTTGTGAAGAAGCTCAAAGACTTACCTGATGAGCTTTCCTTGACAATCTTCAACATGGCATTGCAAGGATTTGCAGAAGCATCTCTGAAAAAACTCTCAAAACTGATTACTGAGTTTAGCCTCCAATTCAAAGACCCGGAATTGGAGAGTGAATCATTCAACAGCTTGACAGCATGGTATTATGTGTTTCATACTATTGATTTTTTCCTTCAGAATGAATTTATCACTCAGGAGCAGCACAGAAACATCTTGCAAGAATACAAAATGTTCAGAGAATTAATATACTACACCTCCAATCTGTTCAAAATTCAAAGTGGAGCAAAACTTGATAATAATTTGCTAGCATTGACCAAGCATTGGTATTGGTCATCTGACAAAAACCCTTTTTCAGGTAATTTTGGGTGATCTTCATCATTTCTCTTCTTTGATTCTGGAAGATTCTGTACATTTATTGACATAACTTTACATTCAATTGATTAGATCTTAGATCAAAAGGACAAGAAAGGGTGATTGAATTTGTTTCCATTCTGGAAAGAATCAAGCAAAATGTTGAGAATTTGACCAAACATCATCCCAAATCTGAGGATTCATTCCAAAGGATTTCCAACATGGTTTCCAGTCCAGATTACTTCAACACCTACCAAAACATACATGGATCAAATTCTCCAGTTTCTTATGAAGATGGGAGTGTCCAACTTGGCCATCAGGGTTTGACTGATCCAAAAGGCTTCATTTCAGCAACTCAAAAATTCATTCATCAAGTGATCTCACACTCTGAAATTGAATTTGGACATTTCTTTGTTATGAATGAGGGTCAGATTGATGTCTGTGTTTCAATCTGTTATATTCTGGGATTCATTGAGAGGGATCTATCTCTTGGGATTACCAAATAATTGTGAGTAATTATTCCTTTGTTTTGAACTACTTTAAAATATATCAAAAAGAGTAATAATTGGATGATTGGTGTCTATTTCTCTAACAGAATCAATGAAATGTTATTTCTGAATGAACCAAATGTTGAAAATTCATTGCAAAAAGCTCAAGATCAAACCAAGGATGTAATCAAATTGGTATTTCTTACCTCAAGGTATCAAATGTTAAGGAAAATTGCGTACAGATATTGGGATATAACCAAGAATTTGTCTGGAGAATCAATAGACAAGTTGCCTTACAACAAATCAATTTATCAAGGTTATCTGAAAACGTTGAGGGAAATTTTAACAGATTTCAAAGATGTCAATCTTAGATGTTCTTCTAGTGATTTAAGATTGAGGAAGTTTAATATAGATTTTGTGTATGAAATTCAACTTGTTGAAATGAATGGTGAGATTGGATTGAATTATTTGGAGTCAAAAGCTTAGGATTATTTTCAAGAAATCCAAAAACAGATATCTGTTATGGGTTTTCTGGGGAGAGCAGCAGGGGATCTGTTGAAATTCTCCCCATCTTTTTCTCTCTCTTCCCTTTTCCCTTTCCAATCACCTTAAATTAGACTGAGTTAATTCTACCAAGTAGCTTGGTTTTTGGTTGTTTTCTGAGTCCTCTTTTGAGTCAAATTTGAACCTTAATAAATTAATCTCAACTCAATTACTCTTGTCTCTACATTATAAGCAATTTCTGTTGATATCCAAGCTTAATTCATCAAAAGCTTAGATCATTTTTTGTCCCTCACTATCGAAATAGTGATGTCATCTCGCTCAAGCCTCAACAATGACATCATATTGCTCGAGCGTCCTAAATCTTGTGTGGTTTCTACTCCGCTCGATCCTCTCCTATTTTCTCCTTATTACTCTCTTCAAGTGTTCTGAAACACTTCCTCCCCTCTCGGTAGGAATAAAACTTTATTCAGAATTCCTCATTCTCACTCGATTCCTCATTATCACTCGTCACCTCTCTTATCGACTCGTCACCACTCTCATCGTTCTCCCACTTCCCTATCTTGATCCATTTGATCACCTGAAGCACTTATCCCTTCTTATTACCGACACTCGCCTTTATCGTTGAACATCGTTCACTTACTTCTCCATCTGATCCATCTGATCATCTGAAGTTCTTATCCCTTCCTATTACCGACACTCGCCGATACTCGTTTTCCTTGAACTCGTTCCGCTTAGGTCTCAATTGGAATTCATTCTTTATTTATCGATCATGTATTAATCACTCTCTTTTTTAGAACTCTTTCTTCTTGTTATTCTCATTGCTTTATAAGCGCTTGTTGTTCTTATCATTAGTCATTTACTGCTTTTAGGTGATTATACTTTTCATTTCTTTCTCTCTTTCTTATTGTATTTCTTTGAACTGGTATTAACGAAATACAATCTTTTAGTCTATTAATTAACAGATTTACAGTCTCGATTCGCTCGAAGAAACCGATCGATCCTTAGAACTAAAAAAGCAGTAATGACGGACAACACAGAACAAAGCTCAATCAAGACCGAACACCTTCTTCCAATCCTCAACGGAAAAAACTATCCCTCTTGGTATG